CTTTGTTTCGGGCGGCATTTTCATTGGCCTTTTTTGCTGCCATGAGAACCAATGAAATTGTCCCTAGCTCCCGTTCTGATGAATCTGGCAGGGCATTTTCCTTTGCAGATGTCCAAATTTTGGAACAGGGGATTCAACTATGCATCAAGTGGTCAAAGACCGATCAGTTGGCCAGGGGTCAATATGTAGTTTTGTCTAGGGCGCCTGAGGGTCACATTTGCCATGTCTTGGCATTGTCTGATTACCTCAGACTCTGGCCAAGCGTTTCTGGCTATTTGTTTCTGCATGTCTCCGGCCTTCCCCTGACGCAGTTTCAATTTCGAGTTGTACTGCGGGAGGCTTTGAGTGCATCCAATGCCTCCTCATCCTCTGTCTTGAACTGGGAAATGAACCTTGACAACTTTGTGTTGACTAGCGAGGCTGTCAAAAAGCTAGACTTCTTAGTGGGTTGGGGTGCCGGAACATTGGCCTCAGATTCTGAGAGGAAGAGCATGGCCTCTTGGCTAGCTAGGCTGCGCTTCCCCTGAGAGGCGCCAGTGGCGGGTATGGACTGTGCTGTTGTTGCTGGAGGTCCCCACTGGACAAGCTGACTATCTCCCTGGGGCAAGCCAAGATGGTGGCCTCCATGATCAGAGCCAAGATGTCTGCCCCCATTAGTCTGGCCAAGATGGAGGCTGGGGACCGCATAGCCAACATGGCGGCTGCTATGCACATTTGCCGGCTCTGTCTGGCAAGCATCTGCCCCATCGGAGAGGAGAAGACTGCCCAAGAGCAGAATGAAGTGGCAGCCGTTGTCCGTCAAAGCGGGCAGGGATCTGCCGGTGGCAGTGCTAAGGGCTCCCCCTCCTGGGACGAGAGATTGGCAGGGCTTATCCATACATGCCCTAGGTGAGCTGGGGAGTAGGGCGACCCAATGGGGGCCAGCCTCGAGTGACCCATGGAGGGAAGAAAATGTGGAGGAACGGAGTCCCCCCAGGCCTGGGAGCTCCCATGAATGGAACTTGTCAGCAGCTTGGAGGGTGAACCCCCTCCCCTGGCTGCATCCCCAACTCCATCTCCCTGGCCAGCTGCTCAGACCTTTCTGATGGCTGGGGGAAGAGACAAACTCTTCACTGCCATAGCAGCCTCCTCAGCAGGCAACCTATCCATAGCCCCATAGATGGAGGGAAGAAGGAGGGGAGGCCAGGGAGAATCCACAACTGGACAAAGCTTGAGCAGAAGAGATGGAGAAACAGCTAGCTCTTTCAAAACACGTCCTACTAGGACCGTAGGCAGAGAAAAAGGTTGGCTTCCGAAGGGGGGGGTAGCCCCTCCCCCAGGGGGCCAGGTGTGTTTTTTGTATAGTTGCTGCTACCCATTCTCCAGGATGCTGGGACCTTATCTGCTGGGAAATGGACCAAGGAGTTGGACAACTCCCTGGTCCACATCCTAACTGCAACCAAAATTGAAAAGAACTTTAAAAAGGCAACATCCACTGTGACTCCAGCTTCTGCCCAATCTGTGCTTACCAACTGATATATACTCCTGGAAATTAAAATGAATACACCTTCAAACCCCAACGATCCCAATGTCTGACCTGTAATACATCCATGAACGTCCTCTCTTCCCTCCAAAAGAATCACAGAATCATAAGAGCTGGAAGAGACCACAAGGCCCACCCAGTCCAACCCCCATTCTGCCATGCAGGAACTCAAAATCAAAGCATCCATACAGCCTCTGTTTAAAATGGCCATACAGCCTCTGTTTAAAAACCTCCAAAGAAAGAGACTCCATCACCCTCCAGAGGAGTGTGTTCCACTGTTGAACAGTTCTTACTATCAGGACATTCCTCCTAATGCTGATCCGGAATCTCTTTTCCTGTAGCTTGAATCCACTGCTCTGGGTCCTAGTCTCTGGAGCAGCACAAAATAAGCTTGCTCCATCCCCAATAAGACATCCTTTCAAATATTTAAACAGGGCTATCATATCACTGCTTAATCTCTCTTCAAGTCATTTCTGACTTATGGTGACTCTAAGGCAATCTTATCATGGGGTTTTCTTGGCAAGTTTCATTCAGAGATTTGCCATGGTCTTCTCCAGAGGCACAGAGAGCGTAACTTGTGCAAGGTCACCCAGTGGGTTTCATGGCTGGACAGGGAATCATACCCTGGCCTCCAGAATCATAGTCCAATGCTCAAACCACTACGCCACACTGGC